CAAATAGAGGAATTTTGATACAACTTGGAGTGGAAGAGAATGTTTGTTTTAGACGTTTTCTTATTATTTATCTTCACATCTTGAAAACGAACCTTGAGAGAATAGTTACATGTGATGCTGTATTTACCACCAAAAGCCAAGTCCCCCTTTCACTTATCAATCCATGTTCCGGGTTATCCACTCAAAAGAATGTGAGTATCTGGCCTACTTCATAAACAACATTTCCTCTCAATCCAAGCATACTGGTGCTGTAGAAATGAGAGCTTGAACGTGGACGCCCACGCATGGGGGAAACAAGTGTTCGGAAAAAATGTAAAATTAGGTGATTTGTTATTTTGTCCTTTTTCACGACATTTCCTGTGATTTTAGTCCCAGAAAACGTGTTACCACGATCTGTGAAGCATCACTGATGTGTACCAGTCCAGTCGAGCCAACCCGAACTCGTCAAATTCTAAAATGCCAGCCTACGCTATTCGCTGACAGATCCCTCGGGGGTGTTCACCCTGTAAAGGTTACATCTCCAGTCTGATTTGGTTCCTTTTGTTCCCGGGACGATTTGCTCGAAATGCATCCCACACGCGGCTTTGCCGTGTGCTGAACGCCGCGGGGAGGACCGATGGCATGTGTGCGTATGTGTGTGTCTAATTCCTCATGAACCATACAAATGCATCGGGCAACAAAATTGCGACGACAACACCTGACGCGCAAAATTAGTGGTTTGCGAATCCGATTACATATCAAATGTCAAGCAAGAGGATGAACTCAATTCGGAGCTTGTTGTGGGCATGGATTACGGGTACTAATACACGAACACTCCCCGGGGATGAACCGGGAGTTGCATGATGCGAAATAATCAATCTTTCAGCTGGCGGTAGTGCCTTCAAATTTCCAATTGTTTTCTTCAATGTATTCCGATTCTCAAACACTCTTTATTACATTTTTTCGTATACGATGAAATATCACTTGTCGATTGAGGGTATTTGTAAAATTAACTGTTTAATTGGGCTGAAGATAATCCGTTTACAATTTATAAAATTTGCCACACAAAATATTACATGCACAGAAGATGTGATGTGTTTTGCATGCCGGGGATTGCATCGGACTATCATTGTTAGAACCCCAGAAACTTATGTCATAAACATTGTTAATAAATGGGTGACCTAGTAAAGCTCTCTAAACTGCAAAACATTCCAAATTATTAAGTACTGTAAAAATTGATTTATAATACCTATAATAATGAGCAAATATTTGTATTTAATCCCTTGCAAAACGATCACTCACTTCCTAAAGTTCATCTCATTGGACCACTAAAAACAAGTACCTACAATTTTCCCCATGTAAATCGTTGTTACGTTTAATGAAGCCATGTCACGGATGTCAATTATTCGTTCAAAGATCGCAATATATGGGCCGGATTTTCGGAACAAAACTTGGGATAAAATACACTTATAAATTTATGTTTTGATCAAAGGGAGAAGCAGAAAAGATTATTTATTAGAAATAGAATATGGCTTGATTTGCGAATCAAATAAATTTTGAACTACATTGAGATTACCTGCTAATCTTATGATAGCATCGCCTCAGAACTGTGGAGCTTGATATGCATAGCTGAAGTAAATGGGGAAACGTCTGCACATTTCTGTGTAATGGTACACAATGTATGAGCGTCCATTTTCAGATAAGACAAACCGAACAGCAAAAAGAGATTAATCGAATGCGGTAATGGATTGTGACGTTTTATTCCAATTAAATAGTTTTCAATTGGCATTGCACTGCGAAAAAAATTTGCAATAACACAACCACGTCGTCTGTGCATTGCGCACTCGTTTTTGCCACTAACTGACCGCCTTTATTTGGATGTAAGTTTCCTACACAAAAATACGCTCTTTGGTTGGATGCTTGTCAATATGTGTAAAACTTTTAAATTAAAGTAGATGTCTGTATGTAACGCTGTGCGAAGCACTATAAAACTCTTATGTTATTTTGGGAGGATAAACGAGTTTGGACGGACAGATACAAATAGATAGTTTAGAATGAACAGAATTACTTGTTGAGAAAATTTAGGCAAACCTAGATTATTAATCAAAGTAGGGTTCATTATTCACCAAAAGCAAATAAATATATTCTGTTGATAATCACTTTCCTCCAATACAACCTACTTCGTTTGTTTTTTGCAATTCCCTTTCCTTGGCATATCTGAAGTCAAACCAGCTTAAACGAGTGAAGTGTTACGTTATTCAAGGAGACACGACCAGGCTGGAGCACACTGCTGTCTAGTGGATACACGTTGATGTCTCAACACATACACAGTTGTGCTCCAGGTAAATCTCTGAATCAACTGTGAAGTATTTTTAATCGACCATGAAAACCACATGCAAGACACGAGGCCGTTTTCGTTGAAAACCGAAACGGCTGGTATCGAAAACCCAGGATTAGAAAAACATAATATGATTTGTTGAATAGGTGGAATTTAAAAAAATAGACGTTTCGGAAATTCGACCAATCTGAACGAAGGTTGCTTGTTGTTGTTTTACTCAACGAGCTGATCAAAATAGCTGATGGGCGGTTTGACCACAATTAGTAGCTGCAGTTTTCTTAGTTCCTTAATCACCTCCCTGTCTTTACACGCAGGTCTTTATGTCCCCTTCTGCACGTCATCTGCTAAGCAAGTTTTCATTAATTACTGACACCTCAGTCCATGCTGTAGTCCCCTGAGGCTGTGCACGGTTGACCGACTCAAACCAATCCTTCTTAACTTTCTTTTGGTGTTCCCATCCCAACAACCTTCAGCATCTTGATCTTTTGACACACCAAGCAGGAATTCTCAGACTATGCACAAATAGATATATGACCCAAAGATCCGCCCGTCAAAATGAAACGTGACTTGTAGCATGGGCTGCAAGCTTTTGCGATTGAACTGACTTTCATTATAGAGCTAAAAGTTAGAAAGCAGTTGGAAGTTTTAATTTTTCTGGAAAAGTGAGGAACAATAATTTATTTATGTCGGCTTTTTGACGTCTTTGTGAGTGGGAATTCAAATGGCCCATATTATGTCGGTGACACTGTAACAATCGACAAATCCGCTCAGTTCTACTGGACAGTTGGTGTCAAGTGAAATTGCCGATAAGCATTAAGATTCAGTCACTAAGATCCCAACTCATGTATATATAATTTTCGTTCCGTATTTACCGAAGTACTACGATCCCATCATTAGCAGAACCCCTATAGTTTGCTTATTGAATGGATTCTTTATAAATCCATAAACCATAATGATGATTCTTGGATCTAATTAGATCAGGAACAACATATTGGAGACCGTCACTCAGAAATCTTCGAAGATACCAACACATGCGCGTTGAGACTGAACCAAATTAGATCATGCAAATTGAATTAAGGGTCTTTGGATTTGTGTACAGAACAATATTCTTTACTATATATATTCACAACAAAAAACAATGAAACTTTGCTTTCGAGTCAATATCACCATCCAGTGAATTTTGAAATGCAACTGTGGTTTCCACTACTGAGGCTCACTATGAAAAGGTTTGAGTTTCCTTTTTAAGTCTCCTATCCTATTCGTGCTGGACGATTCTAGTTTCTCTTTCAGCGTTGAGCTCAAAGCAAGACCCATAGTTACAGAAATTTCAAACATTGCAAACATGTGAGTATGTAAAGTTGTCTAGTGGAACCTGTAGAACATTGGACACATTGCCTAATCAGGTATCGTTGTGTACCTTCCAGCCTATAGGTACTATCACAACATCACATTCCTGTCCAAATTTACCCATCCAACATAGATTTCTTTTCCCAAGAACAGGTTTCATCAATTCCTATCCGGTTTCGAATATCACCGCGAGTCCAGAACTGAAGTAGGCAGGCACTCTTATCAAGTATCTGTTCTCACGGGGATTTAATTTTCTCGTTTCATCAAGAACAGATGCGTGTGGAACAATCATGTCTTACTTTCTACTCTGCCATGCGTACAAGCCCCAAACTTGTAGATGCAGTTAATGCAGTTCAGTAAAACTGAACTCATGACAATGAGTGCCCATTTTCACTGTCGCCCCCGTACAAATTTGACAATGAGCTACACTGTAACCCACACACACTGTGGAACAAAATAAGTGTATATAGGTTTTGACTCTGTTTTGAAGGTTGAACTTTATCATGCTCAAGAATCAAACCAACTGTCCGATTGTCAGTTAAATGTTACACTCGTATACACCTGAGTAATTCCGAGTTCGATCCCCGGAGGGAGTAACCGATGGAATCAGGAAACGACAAACAGAAAGCATGAAAACCTCCCCCAACTCCGGATAATTTGTCTAGTTGTCCATCCACAGAATACTACTTGCATACAATACAAAACGTTAAAGCTATTGTCCAGGCATAGCCATCACCGGTAATTATTAGAACCCTTCAAACATTCTAAGCTGAAATCCATTTTTTCCACTTACCTTTCTGTTGTCACCCTTAGATTTCGCTTTTTGATAAGAAACACACCGCGCGTGACGTGATTCAGTGAAACAAAATACTTGGCGGTAACATATCACAACTCAAGAGCAGGGAATTGACATCATAAACACTCCGTCCCGTTTTGCAATGAAACTCACCAGTTTAGTTTAGAAGAGTGAACCAACATTTAAATAGGACCATGCGGGTTTTAAATTCCCCTCTTTGCGTGCATCAACCAAAACGTGTACGGTCATCACAACCACTTCCTGTATAAAGTCAACTGGGTGAATTTCGACTGGTTGAAAGCAACCTATCTATAGGTGTAATGAGGCTACTCAGCTTTGTTTCGTTCAGACAACGAATGGCGCAAACATACTACTAAATACATCCTTGCTGATAAACACGGCGCAATAAAAAATTGTAATTGCGAAGAGAGAGAAAACTGCTACACCGTATCTATTTGGTTTGTATGAAGAAAGCAATAAATTGCAATATTTTTATGACACTGGAGTACACTCTAACACCATCGGACCTGAGTGTCGTTATTATGGTTGTTGTTGTTGTTTCTGCTGCTGCTGCTGCTGCTGTTGAGACAACCGCATCCCGGAACACGCACCAGCTACCAAGTCATTCGACCAATTCGGGCATCCTGATCGGGATGTGCCATAGCCCGTAAAAGAAACATTTTGCTCTTACTGGGTTTACACTGACTCCAAACACAAAAGCAAAATGTCTTACCAGTATTCCTCCGTAATGCCCTCAAGCCATGGGGTTTATTTCAAGCGTATTTGATTACACACGTCGAAAGAATTGCATTCTTATGGCTGACGAGGAACACTCAGTGTACAGCCGTTTAATTATTATGGGGACCCGTCAGTAGTGTGTACTATTGCTTTGGTTATTCTTCTTTTTTGTTTGTTTTCGCTTCCTTCTATTAAATACGCAACGATACAGGGTTCGGGAGGGTACAAGCGACTAATCGCAAAACGACATGTATGGCTTGTCCGTGCGTGACATGGCTGTTCATTAGAAACACAGCCGGGGCGGCAGTATTCCTTTGGGATTCACAAACGCATAATTTGTACGGCCACGGAAGATAAACATAAGCATCTACTCAGCCTGCGTACCATAGTAAACTACGGTTTTCGTCGTTTGTACTCAGGTCCGTGAAGTACGTCACATCTGCTCAAAGTGTCGCGCAGTACGAAAGTATTCCAACTGCTACTATTCCGTAGTTTGATATGCAAGCAGTAGGATGGAAAATATATCGAACTGATTTTATAAGTAAATATACATTTTTCCATAATATTTATTCTTTCTTTTGGAGTTCTATCTCCGATGTAGGTGGCAAGATCGTTCTACGCGGAAACAGCCAGTTGGGAAAATACCAAGAAGTTTTACGTGGGCCTGTATTGGTGGATATTGTATTCCTTACTTAAAAACAATGAAAGTTTACCGAACCCGCTTACAAAAATGGAAGAATGGTGCGTGTATCTTAGACAACTCAAGCGTTGACCCAGTGTCATGATCACTTGAGCATTTTATATTCCGAATGTCCCACATGGCGCATCGTTCCACAGCTGATTCTCTTGTGGTGATTCTCTACCAACAATTCAGCAGCATCGGAACTTATCCTCCTCCCATACCGGCCCGAAAACCACGCTACCGATCGGGTTCATTTATCGATCGATCGGATGGTTCGGCCTCAACTAGTGACCTGGTGCTTGCCCAGCCAACCCGAACGAGAAACCACACCTTGTTTACAATCGCAAGTCTTAGGCAGGCCCAGTGAACTTCGACTGTACAGGGAGTGTCATCACAGTATGGATGGACTGCATGTGACAACAAGAGCATTATAAAAAGCCGGTGATCGGACAGTCTCGTGTTGGGATGAGGGAGTACAGGTGCCGCAAATCGCGGAAAGTGATCCCATTAAATCGCAGAAGGGGTCAGAGGGAATTTACTTATTGGAGGTCATGAGTGAGAAGGACAAGACAAAGTGAAACGATGGAGCACTCGCACTGTGTATACCTTAACTAATTATTCTGGCCTACAATTGATAAGCCTAAGCTGTCTTGGAGTTAGTGTGCAGCATTTTAAACCGGGTTTTAAAAATCAGATGCGAAAACATTGTAAATTCATGTAAATTTATCAACTTCGCTGTAGCCAAAGAATTGATATACCTGAAACGTATTGACTTGTTGTGTCCAGCTTTCGAAGCACGTAATGAATGCGAACATTACACCCGTTACATTCGGCTGAACTGGGTCGAAAGAAACATGATTCTTTCAGTCAAATCCCGGTTCCGAGAGTAATTGGTTGAAAAAAGAAATCAATGTTTAGGACGATGAAGTGAGCAATATTTTACTGTTACTGTGAGCCGACACGTCCAAATAGGTCAAATAGCAACCAGAGAGGGGGAGCAGATTTAATTTCTACAATAGAAATTATCACAATAATACATAAAAGCACCGCAGACACACACTCATGAACCAGTATTTCCCCTCGTTGTATCTGCTCGAGGCATTGAACATCAACCACGCAACTCTGGGGTTTCAACACTAGAACCAAGCTTCCACGTCCCGTGAATAGGAACATATTTTCCAGGCTGACGAAACCGCCTAACAGTTCTCTTTGAAGCTAGTGTCACAGAAAATTACGAAAATTTACCAGTCGGGAGACAGAGAATTTTCAGGTCGTGAGGCTTGTAAAAGAAAGCAATACATTGCCTCCTAAATGTGCAACCTAGCGTGAAAATATAACAAGGACATGAAACCTGTTGATTATTCAGTCGCACAGACGTTTAAAACAGTAGTTTTGGTTCACTTTTGTTCACTTAATCCCGTTATGTGTCCATCTTGTATCCATGCAGTACATCTTCAGCTTTGAACTAATTACTCGTGACAGATAAACTGGATTTTTATAATTTATCTATTTATTCTTTGTGATCTGTAAATGTGACGAGGCAGATACGGAACGGTAAGACAGAAGCATAAGATGCGATTCGTTCGAAGCTCTTCCTCCATTTTCTTCAGGGTATGTTTACTGTGATACTCCAAACACTGAATTAAATCTTATGTAGCTATCGAGCAGTGACTGTATTAAATTATATTACCAAAATGGAACTAACCCGTTTTTACTTCGTAGTCAACGAACACATTCCACGGCTTCTTAAATCCTGGTATGGATTTTACTCGTCAAGAGTGAATTTGTTTCACTTATTCCTCCTCTCTTCAAGCCAATATTACCAAGCTCCTGTAACTGAATGATACGATTATCATGATGATACCAAACCGTGTATTGCCTTTGTGATTTTCACCTAGAATAGAACAACAACTTGCTCACTGACGAGAATAAATAACTGGTTTTCGAACAACAAAACATAAGTATTCATATGAAGTTGTTTTTCTCTTAGGTTAACTCTAGTGAATGTTCCTCCCCACAATTCGAATTTCACTGTCAAATCCTGATAAAGAAAATATGAATTGATTTGAATTGAATAGGTTCCCTATAATCAAACACTTTTCTGTGCGATGCAGAATAAAACTGAAACAAAATTTGAATAAGTCTCTTTGCATTGAAGCAGCTCATAATTTACAAGCATCCGACTAATCAATAGTTGTTTGAATTGCGGTTTTCACTCTCTAGATGAGTATTAAATCGTCCAAAGGTTCATTTTTCGTTTGCTATTGAATTGAGTCTTGTTGGGGTTTCAATTTTCACTATTTCACACTCAAATTCATTGGCATATGTTAATATAATACCAATATGATCAAAGTAATATTTTGCACATCACTGTTTACTCCAGGGCGCTCTCATATTTACCAAAAAATGCAGGTTATGGTAGCCCCAAACTCACCAATTACAGCCATATGGGCTGCCTCACTTTTGATCAAACTCATCGGAACGGTGGTGGACTTTTCGGTGGGATTCAATTGCACTGCGGCTAGTTTGATACTGGAAGACTCCAGCCGGGAATCTGTGGATTGCTTCGCCAAAACTGACGCTTGACAGGCGTACTCCCCTTCGTCTTCAAATTGAACCCGGGTGATGAGCAGATCGTAAATGCCTTCGGGGGGGGGGGGGGGGGGGGGGGGNGGAAATATAGTGCAACAAACGTTTAGAAAGGGTCTATGGTGTTTTCTTTGTGATAACGTAAAACCCTTGAAAAATAAAGAACCCTCCAACATTCCGCCTAGGGGCAGCTTTGTGCATTTCGTTCTCACTTAGTATAAAGTAATTCAGAACGACCATTGTCAAACGAGTGGGTAAACTAATATTCCTGTGTATAATGCAAACTACTGTGAAGAAAGACGGTTGGAAAAATGCAATAAATGCACAATTTTTTCTGTCGATACAATTCCAGTGATTGAAACCGTTGGAATTTCTTGGTAATATGGGCGGTGGTGTCTCGGTGGTGACCACCAAATTGTCACCCCGGGCGACGTTTGTTCTAATCTCACCACCACCACCCGACTTTCCTACCTTGAGTGTTGAATGGCAGGCAGCTCTTTAATTGGCCGCTTCCGCCTTCCTGTAACTTTTATGATTCTGTAGTCAATTAATGGAAGTAACTGTGAAGAAGATAGAAATTGAAAATTTTATCTGCGGATATAAAACGGTTTACTATCACTTCTGTCATAATTCCTGGTTCTCGAGCTTAAGTTTACTAAAGACTAAAGTTCTCGCTTAAAAAGTCAACCTTAATTCCTGAGCATAGCATACAAAGAACAGGCAAACTGGCTTGATGGCGAAAGATTTCGAATCGATATATGCTGCAATGATGGATTGCGTTGTTTTTATTAAGGGTTTATGAGCATCATCGCTTCGGTGAGGCTCAATTTACAATCGGATCCAATTATTGAAACTCCCAATTTTTAATGAGACAGTGCGTGTGCACTCAGGGTTTCACTTCGGCGAAACTCAGTGATTTGGATAAACTTCATTATACAGTGCGATTGCTCCATCGTTTTCGATCGTCTCGGCTCTCTCACTCGTGACCTTATGCAAGTAAATTC